TGTTCAACAACAACAACAAAAAAACCCTTCACAACTGAACTACAGTGTTTACATAGAATGCAAGCCCTACTAGGTGAAAGATAGATACAACATTGTACTATAAACATTGTTTTGATAATCTGCAGTTGTTGTTCAGATTTAATTCATATGATAGCATATGTCACAATATGCTATTATATGAGGAAGAAGAATATTTAAATGAAATAAGCAATAAATGTTTACTTAGAATAAAGTTTATTTACATATATAAAAAGTGTATTGAACAGGAAATTCATTAAAACAAAAACACAATTAGATTTTAGGAAAAAATGTGTTCAAAAGAAAGGATTGCTCTTTTAAGGTAATGAAAATACAGATATATTTGTACGGGATTACTTTAAACTGTTAAGCTGTTAGAAAACATTTTTAAACAAAAAATGTTGGAGGAGCCAGGCCCATACCTATAATACCAGCAACTTAGAAGGCTGATACAGCAGGATGTCAAGTTTAAGGCCAAATCTGGCAATTGAGCCAGACCCTGTCTCAAAATGAAAAATAAAAAGGGCTGAGATGTAGCTCAGTAGTAAAGTACCCATGGGTTCAATCCCCAGTGTACATTCCGAGAGAAAGAGAGAGAGAGAGAGAGAGAGAGAGAGAGAGAGAGAGGGAGAGGGAGATTGGTTGGAGGAAACGTAATTCAGAAGGTTGAAGGCATCAATATATGTCATACATGTTCCAAAGTGACCATATAGACAGGATATTAAATTTAAAAAATTATAGAAATGCTAGACATTCCTTTAATAGTATAAATGTCATATATATTTCAAATCAAATTAATAGCTAATAAAATTCAAATAAACAAATCAAACTAATAACAAATAAAATTCAAATAAAACAAAAACAATATGAATAATATATAGAGCTTTTGTTAAGCATTAACAAATCATTTAGCATTAAAAGTCTCTTCCAGCCGGGCGCAGTGGTGCATGTCTGTAATCCCAGTGGTTCAGGAGGCTGAGGCAGGAGAATCGTGAGTTCAAACCCAACCTCAGTAACAGCAAGGCACTAAGCAACTCAGTGAGACCCTGTCTCTAAATAAAATACAAAATAGAGCTGGGGAGGTGGCTTAGTGGGCGAATGCCCCTGAGTTCAACCCCCAGTACCCAAAAAAGTCTATTCTACATATAAGAGTATGCATATATATAAATTTTCTGAGAAATAGAAAAAATTGTTTAGAATATTAAAGGGAAATGGGAAATCAAAGATACTGAGGACAATATCCCTCACTTCGTGTGTGTGTGTGTGTGTGTTACGAGTACTGAACCTAGGGGAGCTTTACCACTAAATTATGTCCCCAGTCCTTTTTATCTTTTAAGACAGAGTCTGACTAAATTGCTGAAGCTGTTCTTGAACTTGTGATCCACCTGCCTCAGCCTCCCCAGTTGCTGGGATTACTGTGCCCAGCTCTTTTGTTTTGTTTTTGTGCAGCTGGGGATCAAATTTAGGTTCTTGTATATGCTACACAAATGCTCTACCACTGTGCTATGCCCCCAACCCTACAGTTTTTAATTATTCTGAGAGTTCTCCACATTTGTCTGTATTCACTCAGAAGACATTAATAGATGCAAAAGTTTTTCACAGAATTTGTCCTTTTTTTCATTTTCAAAAGAGAATATTCTATGTAGAATTATCTATCCTACTAAAGGTATAACCTTATAAATGTGTATTTGTCTTATTCAAGACAAATACACATTTATAAGGTTGTCTTATTCTTATTCCTTTTGTTTCCATATTCCATTCATTTTCTGATTGTGATAAAGTGAAAAACTTATCTAATTATATATAAAACCTCAAGTGAAAATAGATTTAATGGTTAGCACTAATCAATAACCTGGGGAAGCATAAACAAAACAGGTCAATTAAATCAAACAACAATTTTACCAGATATACAACAGACACAGAAAGAAGTGAATGAAATAGATATACATCAGGGGTTTTATGTTGAGATAGTTCCCTTTCCATCATTATAAGCATATGTCAACAATGGTTCTCTCACATTGTCCTTTTATATTTAAAGTATTATGATCTCAGTCTTGGAGGCTCTATAAATACCAGTGACTTCACAATCACAAGAATTAATTCTAGATTCACTCAAGTCAGAGCATCCCGTTTGCACTAAACGATGGCAGTTGATATCTCTAGGCTGCTGTTGGGACAGGGTGGGGTTGTCACAGACTGTGAAGCGAACTTTGCAGTTTGACTTTTGGGAGTCAGTATAAGTAAAGGAATTCATGGAACATTTCAAATTACGATTCAGTAAAAGATACACACATTTTGTATTTGTATTTAACCCAAATATTCCTCACATGTATGTAAAAACATTATACATACACATGTGATATGTGTACTTATGTACATGTATGTCTATGTGAGAAGTGCTTGTAAATTTTTCTCATGGATTTAGAATTAATTAACAAGATCCTTGGATTATAATTAGAAGCAGTGTAATTCTATAGGCATGAGTTGGGACCTGAAAAGTGTACGTACTCAATCTAAACCCACCTCTCACGAACTTGTTGGATTTTAGGCAAGTTATATCTTAGTCTGATACTTATTCTTTAAAAGGTTACTGGCAATCTTGACTTTGCTCACTTCGTAAAAAGGGGATTAAAGTAAGTGTAAAATGTATAGTAACAAGGGCCGGAGTTGTAGCTCAGTGGTAGAGCTCTTGCTTAGCATATGTGAGGCAACTGGGTTCAATCCTCAGCACCACATTAAAAAAATAAATAAATAAAATAAAGGTATTGTGTCCACTTACAACTAAAAAAAAATGCATAGCAACAAGACAAAAAGTGCTTATGTAAAGTCAAGATATGACTAATAGAATTTTATAGATAATGTGGGTGGCTTAATGAAACATTTTCCTAATTAAATCTAAATGTTGCTAGATGATTTATTTGTAATAAGAAACTAAACAGACTCTGAGCCTCTACAAGGATAATTTAACAGTGCCTAATAATTAAGGTCTTACTTTTATTTGTCTTAATGAAGATCATGCTGTTATAAAAGAGAGACACACATATGAACTGTAATATGATACATATTTTCTAAACATTTAATTTGGAAGGAATTATCAAATGCACATGGGTTTGAAGTCCCGTCTCTGTAAAAATTATAAAATAAAGTAATATTTTATAAATGATTTTAAATAATAGGAAAATGCAATGCCTGCAAGAACATAAAGAACAGAATTTTCTATTTTATTTTTTAGGAGTATGTTATTTTTTTTCTTTCTTCCTTTTTTTTAAAATACTTTTTTTGGTTGTTATTGTAGATAAATGCAATTTATTTTATGTGGTGCTGAGGATTGAACCCAGCGCCTCATGCGTGAGAGGCAAGCGCTCCACCACTGCGCCACAACCCCAGCCCTCTTTCTTTCTTTTGTTTTTTGGGGGGGTACCAGGGACTAAACCCAGGGGTGCTTAGCCACTGAGCCACATCCCCAGCCCTTTTATTTTTTATTTTGGGACAGGGTCTCATTAAGTTGCATATAGCCTTGCTAAATTGCTGAGTCTGGCTTCAAACCTGTGATCCTCCTGCCTCAGCCTCCCTAGCTGCTGGGATTATAGGCATATACCACAACACTTGGCAGGAGTATATTTCTTGACCTCTTACAAAGAGGAAACAAATTCACTTATGCATATAAATTAGGACACATATATACCAGAGATTTATAACTTATACTAACTTATACTCAGCTAGATTTGTGTGTGTATGTGTGTGTGTGTGTGTGTGTGTGTGTGTGTGTGTGTGCTGGGGATATAACTCAAGGTCTTTGGTAAATACTAAGCACAGATTCTATCATTGAACTATATCCCCTACCCACTATGCAACATTCTTAGGGAAAAACTGGCTATATACATAATTAAAATAGACATAAAGTACTGGTTAAAATTATTACATATGGCGTTTTTCTTTTGTGTTCAGACATATTAAAAGATGCAAGGGAAGAAGTGGTAGGTCCTGGGGAAATAGCTTAGTGGTAGAGCCTGTGCTTAGCAGGCACAAGGCCTATCTTCAATATTCAGCACCAAAAAAAAAAAAAAAAAAAAAAAAAGACAAGATATGAGGGTTTTCTGGCAAATTTAATTATTATTATTTTAATAGTTAAATACTTTTACTAGATTCTCAAACTACTATTTATATTTTCCAGAGATTGAATGATGTAGATGTAGATTTTTTATTAATGCAGATGGAGTATCTCCTCATCAGAAATGAGGGCAATTTTATCAAGCTCTAGTCCTAGATTAGAGGATTATTTATTTGAAACCATAACAACTTTTATAAATCCTTGCCATTGCAACACTGTACCATACGAAGAACTAAATTGTATCAAACAGTATTTCTACTGACCCCACTCCTGATAATAAAACATGACTTATTATAAGCATTAAGAACTAATACCTGCATAATATGGTGAATAGTAGGCAATAATTTAAAATATAAAACCAGTGTTTATGTTAAGGTCACAAATTTATATTAAAATGTTGAATTCTGTGAAGTATTTCCACCTCCTCTCACAAAAAAAATCCAAATAGTGGGTTCAATATCATGACTTGGGATAAGTAATGACTAGAAATTCTTACTTTTTAAAATATTCAACAGAAGAAATCTACAACTTTTATCTGGACAAAAGATACTAACAAAGGTGTTTTTTTTGTTGTTGTTGTTTTGTTTTTGTGGTGCTGGGGATTAAACCCAGGGCGTTGTGCATGCGAGGCAAATAACTCTACGAACTAAGTTAAATCTCCAGCCATTAACAAAGATTTTTGAACCTTTAAAATATACATTATTTAAAAGTGCTTTCTTATTAACTGTGAGAATTATATAATCAAATTCTGTTTCTTTTTCTCTCTCCCTTTTTTGCATGGTGGGGAAATCTAACCCAGGGCTTCACATGTGCCAGGCAATTCTACCACTGAGTTACATACTCAGCCATTTTTTAAAATTTTGTTTTGAGATACCTCACTAACTTGCTCAGGCTGGTCTCGATCTTGTGATCCTCCTGCCTCCGCCTCCCCTGTAGCTGAGATTACACGTGTGTGTCACCATGTTGCTCTTGGCGCCAAATTCTCTTACCAAGCTGATGACAATCACTTTCGGGTCCAAGATGCAAATGGAACTGTGGTGTGGTTCATGGTGCTTACTCTTCCTTTATTCTATGCAGTTTGTCATAAAGAGCTGAATCTTTTTTGGTTCAGGGAGAACAAACCATTCAAATAGCATGGATTTCTTATGCCGAAGTACAGGGTGTTCTTAGTGAGACGGGAGTGACATAGACTTTTTAAATACCCTAAATCCTCTTGCTGGCCCAGGATATGGTGGTGGTGGTGAAACACTGTGTTTTCTGGTCAGTGCCATTGCCTGTTCATAAGAAGGCAGTCCTGTGTCCTCCAAAGAAGTTGGTGACGGTGATAAGACAGCTTCCTCGGGTCCTCTGAAAATGATGGAGGGAGTGTGTCTGCCCCTTCTGGCATAGATGGCTGGAGAACTAAACAGAGAGATCGTGTTTAGGTCTAGGAAAGGCAGCATTTTTGGATTAATATGATTAATATTAAAAATTAAATATTTTCTGGGCTGGGGATATGGCTCAAGTAGTAGCATGCTCGCCTGGCATGCTTGAGGCACTGGGTTCGATACTCAACACCACATAAAAATAAAATAAAGATATTGTGTCTACTTAAAGCTAAAAAAATATTAAAAAATTAAATATTTTGATAAATGTTGAACTCAATTTATTAATATAACAACTGTTTTATAGTTTACCCACAACTCTGAAAGAGTCTTGGTATAGGGAAAGACCAAGTCAGACATGGTTTGAAACTTGACAGTCATTTCATAGATATATGAATGAACTCAAACTACCTGTTTCCTCCTCTCTAACATGGGGATAGTAAAAGCTACAGCAGAATTGTTTTGTGAAAACCCAGGAGGATGTTGTATATATAGCTTCTAGCAGTGTCTGGCACACTTCTTAGTAAGAATCCAAAATGTGTGAATTTTCTTTCACTCCCTCTTCACTGAAAATTTTCTCAAAAGTATGATGTGATGCCAAATCGAGGCTTTGTTGAGGGGGACAACTTCAAGCCAAGGAAATAAATGCCACAGAGATAATCACAATGGCTGGTATCCTCCTTTGTCTTCTGTTCCCTCCTACCTCTAACTCCATACCTCTAAGACAGCAAACAGTACTTCCTTCATGTTGCTCTCCTCCTTAAAAGTCTAACTGCAGCCTACTTGCCACCGAATCAGGTTGACTCCTGAGCCTCCTCTTGAAAGCCTCCCTTATTCTGGTCTTGCCTTAGTTTTTACAGTTCTCTGCTCTTGCTGAGTAATTTCTTGATACTACCCTGTGTTTGCAGCAAATTCTTGGGCCCTTCTCTATGTTTTCACTGGTATTGATCCTTTTCTTAGAATTGTGTTTTCCCCTTCCACTAATCTAAGCCATATATATATATATATATATATATATATATATATATACCCCCCCCCCCCCCCCCACAGGAAAATAAATACATAAATGGCTTGGTTCAGTCGACCATTTTCACAAAACCTTGCCAGTCAATGGAAGTTGCAACATGGGTCTGGTGTTTTAAATCTACTGTTTTCTCTTCCCATTGTGAATTATGAAATGTAACTGAAGCATTAAGAAGTAAATCTGTTTAGATTATAAAGCTGGCTGTCTATAAAGTACCCTTACATAAGTTAACCTCCTATAGTTACGGCTAATGAGATAATTAAAACTTACAGTCAATATTGACCTCTAGTCAATGTTTACAGTATACTTCCCATTAAGACACAGACAATTTACAGAGAACTTTCCCAAGCTAAGTCAGCCAATTGGTTCTTTAAGACACCTTTTCCTTTTGAAGGTAATAATGAGATTTGAAATTGGAGGGAAAGAGAAAAATTGCAGAAAGAAGAAAAGCAAAAGTCTGTGTAAATCTAGGAGCTGGATAATCAGCCCTTCAATAGTTGAGAGGCAACTGAGAGGATCACAAGTTTACTTAGAGGGCTCAACACAATTCCTCCTCTGTCAGAAGTCTGGAATGCACTCATGAGAGGTCAGTCACTTGCCACATTCATCAGCTTACGATGAAAAAGTTCTGTGTGTTTGCTTACAGGGGATGGGGTAGACAGATATTTTATTCTAACAAAAATTTTCCATGTTGACTTTCAAAATTTAATACATAGAAGCAGTGCACAGTGGCTCACATCGGTAATCCTAGTTACTTAGGAGGCTGAGACAGGAGGATCAAGTTCAAGGCCATTTGGACAACTTAGGAAGACCCTGTCTCAAAATAAAAATTAAAAAGTTCTTGGGATGAAGCTCAATAGTAAAATACTCTTGGGTTCAATCTCTAGAACCAAAAAAATAAAAATAACAAACAAACAAAAAACTATAGAAACTATGTAATGATTACATCAGTCATTAAATACTACCTAGTGTTTTCTTACACCTCATATATCTTATGTGATTAAAATCAGAAAGTATGCACTAATAATATCTTAAAACTGGAATATCATATTATGCCTCTTTTCTTCCACAAAATACAGGAACCAAGAATGGAAAAGATTTTAGAATTTTCCATTTTTTGGTATGTTTTACACAGAGGCAAATTTTTCTGACCATGATCTTTTTTTAAAAATTGTTTTTCTTTCTCAAGTATTCTCTTCCCCTCTCACTACTTTCAGCCTTGTGAAATACAGAAAGTGAACAAATGACTCTGCTAGAAGAATTTCCTGGGACAATAAATAAAGCACTTTAATATTTCAAAGTTAGTATTTAAAAGAGCTCTTTAGTATTTAAAAGAGCATGTCTAGTAAACCTAGCTTGAAATGTCCTCTAGAACTCAACAGTTCAGAGGATCAGACACAATGGATGAAAAATTATTTGTATACTACACTGGTATTACACTAGACTAACGTTAAGTTTAACTAACCTTACTTTTAAAAGGAGATATCCAGGGTTTTATATTTCACAATGACATATACAGAAGACATGCCATAATCATGTTACCACTTAACCCCCCATGTGGTGCTTATTTATTTATTTATTTTAAATGAGGGTCTCACTATGTTCCCTAGGCTGGCCTTGAACCTGTGGGCTCAAGTGATCCTTCTGCCCCAATCTCCCATGTAGCTAGGACTACTAGAGCAGCACCTTGCCTAACCTCCCCATGAATTTGAATTCTTTTTCTACCCTCATGCAGGGAAAAAATTATGAATATGATATTTCTGGGGGCTAAAAAAAAGGAACAAAATAAGGAAGACAGAGTGGTGTAGAAAAGTAGAAAAATAAAGCAGAGAGAAGAAATCATCAAGCACGAAGACACTAATTAATGCATGTGCTATCATAGATACCACAGACCTTGAGTGATTTTTTTTTTTTTTTCAGTGTTGGAGATGGAACCCAGGCCTGGCACCTGCTAGGCAAGTGCTCTACCACAGAGCCACACCCCTAGCCTGAATGCAGTTATTAAACATGAGGACATACAAGAGATTTCATTTAAAAATTTTTTTTAATTGTAGATGGACACAATACCTTTGTTTTATTTTATGTGGTGCTGAGGATCAAATCCAGTGCTTCACACGTTAGGCAAGCACTCTACCATGGAGCTACAACTGTAGCCCCAAGAGGTTTTTTTTTCCCGGAAAAACATTATGAATGGGGTAGGAGAAAAGGAAAGATAGACATCAAGAAGAATCTCCAAAGACAAATTCTGCCTATGTTTTAATTAACCTGTGGATTCCCCTAGCTGGTGAAAAACCCACAGTAAATAAAATCTTGGTCAAAAGTCCTAGAAAATGACTTATATACTAGAAAAGTCCCATATACTGAATGAGGAAAATTAACATAGGTCTTCAGCTTAAAGATAGTGGCTTAAGAAAAATTAAACAAATTCTTCCTTACTTTCTCTCACTTCTGAAATTTCTACAGAATTTATAGACACAGACTTCTTAGTCCATGCCCATAGGTCACATAATGCCTCAGGGAGTTTTCCAAGAATTTCAGCATGAGGTAGAATTACAATTTATGTTCCTTCTTTTTCTCCCCTCCTTGCTGGCTCCTCCTCTTTTTTCTGCATACTTAGTAGGGGGCATCCTGTAAGACTCTGTCTCTTCCCTTCTGTCCTTTAATTACATTCAGAGAACTTGCCTACTCTCACAACTTCAACTCTTCTCCTCTAATACATGAATCTTAATTCCACTTCTGTTGCGTTAAGCTCTTACTCTTTTTTCCAGTTTAAAAAAAAATGTGACAATACCTATTTATCATAAAATTGCCATTTTAACATTAATTTTTTTTGTTTGTGTGTGTGATACTGGGAATTGAATTTAGGAGATCACCGAGATTGAACTCAGAGAACCACAGAGCTATATCCCTAGCCATTTTTATTTTATTTTGAGACAGAGTCTTGCTAAATTGCTGAGGCTGGCCTTGAATTTGGAATCCTGCCTCAGCCTAAGTAGCTGGGATTACAGAGGTCACCATCACACATGACATGTTAAACTTTTTTTTCTTCTTCTTATTTTTTGTAGTACTGGGATTGACCTCAGGGGCACCCTACCACTGAGCTACATCCCCAGACAAGGTCTCCTGAAATTGCCAACATTGGCTTCAAACTCGTGATTCTCCAGCCTCAGCTGGTAGAGTGCCCTGAGTTTGAGCCCCAGTGCCACAAAAAAAAATAAATAAATAAATTTAGGGAGAAATGTATCTTTTATATTTACTAATTTCATTTAGTTCTACAATGTAAAAAGTTCTGAGCTATATCCTCAACCCCTTTTTATTTTTTTGTTTTGAGACAGGGTTTCACTAAAGTGCCTACGCTGGTTTTGAACTTGTGATCCTCCCACCTCCACGTCTGAGTTGCTGGAGTTACACACTGTGCCACTGTGTCCAGCTTCTCTAAAAATTAATAAAAGTTATATCTGTTGAAGAAATTTTAAAGTAGTTTTTTTTTGTCTCATCTGTGTGAATCACTTTAAAAATTATTTCCATTGCTATGATAGCATCTAAAAACATATTAATAGTGGAGATTAGGGTCTTCAAGAAAATTTTTAATCCTACTTTGTGCCAAGAAAAGCACAAATTAATTGCATTATGCAATTTAATTTTTTTTTTCCTGTTCTGGATATCAAACATGGAACCTTGTGAAAGCTAGGTAAGTACTCTAACACTGAGCTAAACCCCCAGACCTAAAAAAGAAAACTTAAGCAGTTAAACATTTTTGCTGTTTGCTTTAATTAGCTGCTTTTTTTTTTTGGTACCAGGGATTGAACTCAGGGTTACTCAACCACTGAGCCACATCCCCAGCCCTATGTATTATATTTTATTTAGATATAGGGTTGCACTGAGTTGCTTAGGGCCTTGCCATTGCTGAGGCTAGCTTTGAACTCACGATTCTCCTGTCTCACCGCCAACCCACCCCCCACCCCCCCAAGCCTCTGGGACTACAGGCATGCACCACAGCACCTGGCCTGCTTTTTTTTTTTTTAACAGTAATTGCCAATAAAATTTTAGAACCATTATATAATTACATGTTTTTAAAAAGATCTTCACCTATTTTCCAAATCCAAGAAATTTAACACTGATACCAATTTATTTTTCTGGTCCAGGATCACACATTGCATTAATCATCATATCATCTACTCCAATTTGGAACAGTTATTTTCTCAGTTTTTCACTACATCAACAGTGGTATTTTTGAAGATTCAGGTAAGGGGTTTGTAGAATTTAAATTTGATTTGATAGGGGTTGAAACTTAGCCTTAAATTAGAAGATGAAGAATCTTGCAAAAAAAAAACAAAAAACAAACAAACAACCAACCAACTCTGGGGCTGGGGTTGTGGCTTAGTGGTAGAGTGCTCACCTAACATGTGTGAGGCCCTGGGTTCAATCCTCAGCACCACATAAAGATAAATAAATAAAGGTATTGTGTCCATCTACAACTAAAAAAAATTTTTTTAAACTGTATATTTTTTCTTTTGAAATATATATGTAATATATTGAAAAAAATATATATATATATACACACACAACTCTATTAGAAGAATACAGAAACAATGCTTATTTTCTAAAAAGATAAATCAAATGACTAAGTTACCATAAAAAAGCACACTTGGTCACGATCATGAGCTTATTCACAAAATTTCTGATTGTGACTACGCATATGTAAGCATCAATCTGTAATAGCCTGCTTCTTCTGAATAATGTCGTCTCTACCTACTCAAGCATACTTACTGGAAAGATAATCAGTGCCTCTTAGTTCAATAACAATAATGAGGTTCTATTGTACAAATAATTATGGCTTTTATGAATATTTATCAAACTTTATTAATGTGCTATTATCTTTAATTGGTAAAAATTTTGTTTTATTAATCTATACTTAATTCAAAGAATCAATAAAAAGAGTTGTAAAAAGCCAGTTATTCTGTCTCTTTGTGGGAAGCCACACATAGGTCTATTAAGTCTGACTCAGAATAAACTACAGAATTTTTTGCTTTAGGAAATAATGGGGGGGGGCACAGGTGTCTGCCTCTGGCTTCGAAGGAATTACTGAAAAATCAAGGTAACATATACGACATTTCTTATATTCTTTTGAAGCATGTTAGAAATAGCATCGTTAAATTGTACTGTGTTGCTAAATTAAGCCACCAAACAACTGTGAGACTAGAGGAGCCTGGGACATGACAATTAAATGTATTACCATGACTGGATCCAAGAGCATATTTCCAAATAGCTAGAAGAGAGGATTTGGAGCAGAAAGAGGACTCTAATGGAAAAACTAGTAAAATCTAAATAAAGTCTGCAGTTTACTTAGTAATAATACACAAATGTTGTTTTATAGTTTTGACAAACCTACTATGGTAACATGATATGGTAACAATGGAGGAAACTGGCTAAAGGATATATGGGAACTCTACTATTTTTGTAACCTTCCTGTGTATTTGAAATTATTCCAGAATATAAAGTTTATGTAACAAAATAGGCAGCTCTTTGAGTCATTTTAAAATAGCAATATAGAATGTGCAAAAATGAATCAAGTATTTTTATTTGGTACTTACCCTGGATATGGTTGCCTGTTACACTTAGTAATACAAAGATAGTAACCAAGTAATCCAAAAATAACCAAAAATACTCCAGCAGCAATTAATCCAGTCAGAAGGCCCATAACATCAATTTTTTCTCTGTTACCATCTTAAAAGAAATCATAAAAATAATATAAATACAATAACTGAAATGCATTATCTATGATTTCAACAATTTTAACACATTATTAAGCATCTAATCATTGATACTGATTTCTTTAAAAAAAATTTTGTGCTAGAGAACCTACCTGAAAAAAAATTTAAATGATCTTTCATTTCTCTTTCTCTCTCAGTCTCTGTTTTTTCTTTTTCTTTTTTTAATGGAGAGTGAACCCAGGGGTGCTTTACCAGTGAGCTACAGCCTTTTTTAAAAAAAATTCTATTTATTTATTTATGGTACTGGGATTGAACCCAGGGGTGCTTGACCACTGAGCCATACATCAGCCCATTTTAAAAATATTTTATTTAGAGAAAGAGTCTCACTAAGTTGTTGCTTAGGGCCTAAGATGCTGAAGCTGGGTTTTGAACTTGCAATCCTCCTACCTTAGCCTTTGAGCCATTGGGATTGCAGGCATGTGCCACTGTGCCTGGCTTTTGTTTATTTTGTTTTTTTGGCAGTGCTGGGATAGTATCCAGGGCCTTGTACATGCTTTGTAAACATTCTACCATTGAGCTACATCTCTAGCGCCTGTTTATTTTAAATAGGTCACATTAAAATGATAACATCCAATATTAAGTGGGATAAACATTCCTTGTGCAATTACACATTTTGGTATTAACTACTAAGATACATTCATTAAGCAACTTGGTGTAGCTATACAATATAGTATTCTATAGGGTGATGTTACCTGTAGAAAGGATGATATCTATCTGAAAAAATGGCAAAATATGTGTTTGGGTATATAAAAAACAGTCAAAAATGGCTTGAAGAATAAAGGGGAGGGAAGAATAGGAAATCTTGGTACAAAATTATAGCAAGGAGGAATAGGGAATAAATTCTAATGTTCTGTATGGCATAGCAAGGTGACTATAGTTAATAATTAATCATATATTTTAAAATAGTTAGAAAAGAGGATTTTGAGTATTATTAATAAGAAATGACAAATGTTTGGAGTGATAGATATGCTTAATATCTTGATTTGATCATAACACATTGTAGACATGTATGAAGATATCACAGTGTATCCCAGAAATAGGTACAATTATTATGCATCAATTACAACAATTTTAGAAGACAGTTAAGAAAGATAAGAAAAAGCATTTCCTCTTTCTAAAAGGTACTTAGTTCTACTTAGCAATCTTTTTTTTTTGTCCTGGACCTGGGGATTGAATATAGCCTTTCACAAGCTAAGCAGGTGCTCTACCATTGAACTAAACCCCAGCCCTATCCAGCAATCTTAATTTTCTTAATGTTAGTATTCCATCTACTTGTAATGGTTAAAAAAAAAAAAGGAACAAAACTTTAAAATAGTTTACTACTTGAAACCAAAAAAGTATTCTGAGCAAGTCTTGACTTAGCTGAGCTGTTTTGAACAGCTTTAAGCCCATTATCTCATTTCCCTAATATCTCACCAAACTTGATTTTCAATGTGTAAGTAGATGAATGATGAATGTAGCCTTCTCTGTCTCAGATAACCCAACATATAATTGAGAAATCTTTCTTGGATTTACAAGGTATGTATGTTGAAAAACAGCCAAACTCAAACAATGAAAACTAAAGTATATTATAATAGAGAGAGGGCAAGGAAAACATTAAATTTTATCAATTCTTGCCTTACCTGATTTTGTGGCTGGTCCTTTAATTGAATATTCCTGCCAAAATGTCATCTAAGAAAAAGATAAAATTTCCAAATTTATGTAATTTATTATCATTTCATTTGCTCCCAATGACCCAAACTAGGGGTGGTAAACACTTGGCATGTGCCACAGGTAAGACACCAGCACATTCAAGCCAGAAGGTGTGACTCACTCAAATTAAAACACTATTCTCCAGGACGGTCACTGTGTCTGCTTAATTGGTTAAAAAACCAGGTCCACTCTCCACCCTCCAAACCATGCCTTGCTTTTCTCCCTTACTTGCTTGGGGCCCTCACTAAGGCCTTGGGAAATAATCATATTTGAGTAAAGGCACCAAGGGTGGAGATTAAGGCAGTGAACTCATTATGGTGTTTGGAAAGGGCCTGAATTCTTCTATTGTAGGGGGCCCACAGTTTGCTAGGAGATTTTATTGAGAGGTATTTATTGACTTGGAAAGACACCCCTGAGACAGTTTAACTTCCATGGTACTTGAAAGAATAGAAGTAAATTTTAAGGAACCAGGGGTTGGGGGTTGTGGCTCAGTGGTAGAGCGCTCGCCTAGCAGTGAGGCCCTGGGTTAGATCCTCAGCACCACATAAAAATAAATAAACAAAGTAAAGGTATTGTGTATAACTAAAAAATAAACATTTAATAAATAAATAAATACATTTTTAAGGAACCAGGATAAAATTAGAAAATGGGTTTAAAATCCCAACAGGCACAACTGTAAAGCATATTCTTTGTTTTCCCACTTTAACAGATGTGGTAAATACTTACAGGAAATGGGAGGCTGGGCACAATTATAGAAGAATAAAGAACAAGGTTTTATTGCTACCTGTCTTTGAAGGATACCTTGGGAGGTTCTTATTGAGTAAAAAAATAACATAAATGCTTCAGGAAGAGGAAAAAGAGCTGGAGTTATTTAATCTACAAAAGTAAAGAATTAACATTCCTTAAGATAATAGGCACAGTATTATCTATGTTATCAAGATTAACAGAGAAGATTATTTTTTGTACCATAGATTGAATTCCAGGGTGCTCTACCACTGGACTATACCCTCAGCCCTTTTTGTTATTTATTTATTAAACTCTTTTGGTACTAGATTGAACTCAGGGACCCTTTACCACTGAGCTATGACCCTACCCCTATTTTGAGAGGGGGTGTTACTAAATTGCTGAAGGTCTCTCTAGATTGCTGAGGATGGCCTCAAATTTGCAATACTCCTGCCTCAGCCTCCCAAGTGGCTGGAATTACAGGCTCAGGCCATCCTGCCCAGCTTGTTTTTATTTTCACTCAGGGTCTTGCTAAATTGCCAAGACTGGCTTTCAACTTGGAATCTCTTGCCTCAGTTTCCAAAGTTGCTGAAATTATAGGTGAGTGCCATTATGCCCACATTACAGATAGGATTTAATTATATTTTAAGGTGGAATTTCTAAAAAAGATTTCCTTTAAATTACACAGATAAACCAAAAATAAACTCCTGAATGCAGGGGCTACATATTATGTATCCTCAGTGCTAATGAAGCATCTGGTATGTAGTAGAATGTTAATAAATACTAATCAAAAAAGAGTAAGATATCTAGGGAAAAGTTCTGAGTTTTAAATAACTGAAGTTTAAGTCAGAGCACTAACTCAAGTAATATCTTTTTTTGTTTGTTTTCGGGTGCTGGGATTGAATTCAGAGCCTTGTGGTTGCTAGGCAAGTACTCAGCACTGAGATATCATTCCCAGCCCTCAAATAATATCTTGAAGTTTAATTCACTCCACTCTGAGATTGTTATTGAGTATAATAGACATTAAACACACAAAAATCACAGCATAGCCCATAACCTGCTAATTACTATAAACCCAGGTAATTAAGTATAGAGTCAAGTCTCAATAGGGTAATTAGCATTTTAAGGAAATAGAAAGAGATAACAGGTATACAACCTTGATTTTGTTTAAAGCATAAAATCTATAATGACTGAAAGTGCTACTTTCATAAGTACAGTTTAATAACTTTCCAGCTAATTAACATCATCAACCAAATTACCGTTTTATCGTCATCCACGAAAATTTCTCTGGCTTCTTCATAATTACAAAGTTCTTCAATGCATTCTCTTTCTAGGTCACCAGGAGTGAAAAGCTCCAAATCAAATCTGTTATATAGGAGGCGGCGATGTATGAAAAAGTTTGCTTCTTCTTTTGATGTAAAAACTAATGAAGGAACAAAAAAAGATTTCAGACATTGATAAGCATAAGGCAGAAAATTTCTGTTTCAGTTGTAGAAAAGTAAATAGATCTCTTCTGTGTTTAAATTATACCAAATTTCTTGTATGGCTTTAAAAATCTGACTTTAAAAAAACAGCACCAGTAAGAATGATTTCTGATAAATATGAAATATGAAAACTAACATGATTCCAGAAAATACTTGGCTTAGTAATATCCAAAATTATTAGTATAAATGAAAATTATTCAAATATCACTTTTCCCTTCACACAATTACTTTCCAATAATTGACAGATCACACTATTCTATTTCCAAAGGCTGGTTCCCCTATTATCTTGATTAAGAAAAATTAGTGGGGTAGAATAGACAAAGTAATGGACTGAGAGTGGGAAGACAGATTCTTGGTTTTGATTGGTTTGAGCTTTCGGCTTTGTATACTGGGATTACGCATTTGTATCTCTGGGCTGGCATTTCCTCATTTGCAAAATTGGGAATTGAATTAAATAATCACGATACCTTTTAAGTTCTAAAATTATAAATTAATACTTTTATCTTAAATACTTCTTATTCAAGCTTATATTAAATCTTATAAAATTATGGACTTCTAAGTTATTAAAATAAGTTAATTATATGATTAATTAAAAGACATTCAGCTTCTGCCAAAGGAGTGACTCCTTTTACCCCACCCCAAAATATGTCTGCAGTGCCTTTGGGACACCATCTATATTTGCAGGGAAGGTCAATAGTAAACATAAAGGTCAAAGCACAGATTGACACAAAACCAGAACATTCCATCATGGTAGCATTTTCAAAACTCACAAACTTTAAACTCATTCTGGAGTCAACCAAACAAGGTTCAAGTGATTTTTGCTCCAGATCATATTACCTAGACTGGAATCCAGAAATTTCTAACAACTACATCAAAATGATTAAAAGAACTTAAAAGTGATGACATTTCTCAATGCTAACCATTACCACAGGAAGAATATATTAAAGTGGGCAGTCAGAAGATAGTTCCTGAGAAAGCATGGTCTGGAAAACCAATATTAATTTGTGAGTGACCTCAGGTAGACCATTGATTCTTATCCTTTTGAGAATGGCCATATCTTGCCCTTATTATTTTTCTACAAATTAATTTTCTATCCAAACAGGTCTGAATCTTCTGGAGCTGTTTTGTTCAATACAGTAGACACTGGCCATTTATGGCTACTGAGTACTTCAAAAGTGGCTAGTCCTGCTGGATGTGCATGCCTATAAATTCCAGCTACTCAGGAGGCTGAGGCAGGTAGATCACAAGTTTGAGGACAGTCTCAGCAAATTATGAGACCCCGTCTCAAAATAAAAAATAAAAAGGACTGAGGATGTAGCATAGTGGTAGAGTACTCCTGGGTTCAATTCCTAATACCAGAGGGGACAAAAAAGACAGTCTGAATTGACATGTGATTTAAGTATAAATACAAAGAGGATTTCAAAGATTTACTGGGGTAAAAAAAAAAAAGGAATGAAATATCTCAATATTGCTTACACTTTGAAAAAACATTTTAGATATTGGGTTAAATTAAATACATTATTAGATTTATGTCATCTATTTCTTTTACTTTTAAAAAGGTGTCTATTAGAAATTTTAAAATTATTTATGTGGTTCACATTGTATTTATTTTGGCCAAGCACTATTCTGGTGTGTCAATTTCTATGTTATAAGTAACATATGGCTATTGGAACTAAGGGGGAAGCTAGGCTTGAATAATGGGTTTTATTCTAAATAATGGGTTTTATTCTAAAAGTGAAACAGACTCCCACTGAAAATAAGGGCAACTTCCTCATACTGAGAATTAAAAATTCCAAATTATTTTAACTTCTAAACTTCTTCATACTAAAATAAACGCTGAAGAGTTGCCATTATCTCCAGACACCAAGGAAGCCAAGACTGATGAGTTCTCCTTTAACTTAAATCTATATGTTTATTTCCTGCCCTATGTCCCACTTTACCTCCTCTTCTTTTATTTTTTTTAATTATTATTATTTTTAGTTGTAGATGGACACAATACCTTTATTTTATTTTATTTATTTTAAAATTTTTTGTGTGGTGCCAGGGATCAAACCCAGCGCCTCATGCATGCTAGGCAAGCGCTCTACCACTGAGCCATAACCCTGGCCCACCTCTTCTTTTATAAAAGCTTTCCTTGCCCTTGAGTTCTCTGAAGATGGTGATTTGAGAGTAAATCCCCTCTATTTTCCTTCAAAGCTGGCTTAGAATAAACCTATTTTTCCTGTCAGTTTGATTCCCAGGTGTTTGTGGAGCATGAGTGGTAAATAGTAGCTTCTTGCCCCAGAATGGTAATGGAAGGGGGATGGAGGGATTAGTGTGATTAAATAATTCCGTTCTTTCTTCTTTGTCTTCTTGTAGATTTTATGTGTTCAGCAATGAAAGCACAGAATGAAAAAATTTCCAATCCTCTCAACCCTCATTGGAACTCCTACAATGGAATTCTCGTGGTCTCCTTGTTCCTCTATATGCAGTTGTTAAAACAATAGCCAGAGACATCTATCAATCTAGGTTGATGGGTCAATCAATCTATTGATCCCAGTGCCTCTCTAACCACTGAATTACATGTCCACCTCACCTCTTTTTATTTTTTATTTTGAGACAGGGTCTTGCTAAATTGCCCATGCTGGCCCGAAACTTGTGATCTTCCTGCCTCAGCCTCCTAAGTAGCTGAGATTATAGGTGTGGACCACTGCACCTGGCTAGAGACATTCTTTTAAGAGACATAGTTTGACTTTTTTTTTGTCTTTTTTTTTCTATCTTTTGAATGTTTTTTATTAGAGCATTATAATGACACATAGTATTTGTGTTCATCCTAACAAATCGTACATACATGGAATTTGCTTACAGTTCATGTTTTTCCCCCTTTTATCCCCTTCTCCCTTGCTCTATTTTCCTTCTTGCACTCTTTTGGTCTTTCATTGATTGATTGATTGATTGACTGACTGATTTTGGGGGCACTGGGAATTGAACCCAAGAATTCTTAACCACTGAGCCACATACCTAGCCCTTTTTATTATTTATTTATTTTTAAATTGGCAATTTAATTAAAACTTTTCAAAGTCACAAAATAGTAAAAGGAAAGATCAAAAGAAGACAGCTATAAACGTATTACAGAGTACCTCTCAGAACCTGGCTGAGCCAAGTGCTCTGGCATATGAGTGTCACTTTTCTCACCCCCAGGCCGCTCCCAGGGTTCCTCTAGTGCTGGCCCTAATGGAAGGCTTTGCTGCCCTAAGAGAGC